AGAGCTAGCTCTTTAGCCGTTTTACGTATCCACCCTACCTTCTTGATGAAACTAAAAAAAAAGTCAATAATTATCTTTGCTGCGTAACATTAAGGGTATATTTGTTTTATTTTTTTAATATGTGTTTTTAAGTATTTTTTGTATTGAGAATGTAAAAAAATATATTGAAAATGTAAAAAGATATGATGGGGTGAGACAGTTATTATTATATTATTCTGAAAAAACCATGAAAAAAAAATAAACAAACAGAGCCCAAGTCTGTAGTCCACATTAATTCATCATATACAAGAGGTAATGATCAAAATGGTCCTTTCAAATTTGAAATGAACACCTACCACCCCCTTTAAGTTTTTTAAACTATGTTATTCGATTCTCTATCAACATATCAATTTGATTTTTGAGTGAAAGAAGAGGAGGGAGTGTTATTTTTGATTTCTTTTATTTTTTTTTTTTTTTTTAGTCACTGGGATTCAAACTCGTAATTTATGGAGATCTGAACGCACTAATAGTTCGTTTGGAAAACGACACGTCTCCACGAATGGTATCAAACTGAGAAGAATAAAAAATGAAATAAATTTTTACTCTGAGTTGTTCTCTTTTAACACTGTATCCAAACTGAATTACACACTTTCAACTGTTATTGTATAATTTTGATATTTGATTTGAGATAGGGGATGCAACTTACATCATGTAATTTTGACACAACTTTTTAATTTGACTTTGTTGTGTGAATAATATATGTTGAAGGAAATAATGCACTACTTTAAAGATTACTTCAATTACCTAAATATGTTCGGAAAAGAAGAAGTCGGCTGAAATACGCCAAAATGTGGGAGTGGACAGAAAAAGTATTTGCCAAAAAATTGAATTTCCGTATTTCTGTGCACTATGCATAAAACGGATTTTGAACATCCGTCTTTAAAGAATTAGATGTAATTAAGATTTCATAATTGTTTTGATTAATGAAAACGGATTTAACATTTTCGCTTTTCTTTTGTAATTTTTATTTAAGGAAATGAGAAAAAGAAATTGCGAAGTAAATATTTTTCCGAAGTTAAAAACGGAAACACAAAATTTGTTTTGTATTAATTATTTTTAGAAAACTAAAAACAGAAATTCAAAATCCAATTTTAAGACAGTAGACAGAAAAAAAAAACAGAACTGACCTGTTTTGTCAAACCTGTTAAAAATACAGAAAACAGACTATATTTCAGCAACAAAACAATACCAAGACAGCAGCATCAACATAAACCCTAAACTCGCGCATCAATTCAACAAAATATTATAATTGTAATATATTTAAATAAAAAACTACATCAACAAAAGTCTCAATGTTCATTAAAAGAGGTAAATAACAAAATGAAGGAATTATTCCTTCTCTAGGGGTGACTTGGGTTGGGTCGTGGATGGCGTGTAGCGGTTGATTTTCTTTATGTTTCTACGCGGCCTTGCTAACGCCAAAGGTAGACTAGATTGCTTCTTCAAGGGCGGGGTAACATCCACATCCATACTAGTAGGTTCACCTTCTTGGTTGGCTTCGTCTTCAAACTGGGGGGTTGGAGTTTGAAACAAGTCGGTGTTGAGTTCAAAATCATATTCTGGTTCTTCTTCTTCCTCGATTTTTTCCCTGGCTCCCTCCAATCCCACGGTCATATTCTGGTTCTTCTTCTTCCTCGATTTTCTACCTGCCTCCTCCAGTCCCACGGTGAGGAATGTTTCACTTGCGAACTTTGCCAATCGGTTGAGAAGGTTGTAGTTGAATATCAACAAGCGATTAGAAACCCTTACATCTTCAGCCTTCCTAAGGCTTGCGAGTTGATCTCATTGTGTTGGGAGACAGTGGGAGGCCACCTACGAAAAATCTAATGAATGAACACCTCTACCTTAAACCTAAGGCCAAGGTATCATCGTCGTCTTCCGGGTTTTTCCTCCTAGGGCGTATCCTTAGGATTCGCTCATAAGTCCAAATCTGTAAAGGTAACACATGTTAGGTTAAAAGAACACAAATTATACATAAAAGGAAAAAATAAAATAAATACAATTCAAAATCGAGTTATCCCTGCAAAAAAAAAGACATCCACCTATATCCCATTTCATCCTTTTTGATACTTTACAAAGATTATTATACAACACCGCAAGACATGCACTCCCCAACTTAGATTGCTACAAGACTTAAAATTCTTCAGTAATGGCAAATAAAGCAAAGGCATAGTGTTGCCGGTTGTGTCCGAAAATAGTGAACCTCCAATTGCCCATAAAATAAAACCCCAAGCCCTTTTCTGGCAGCCATCATCTGAGGTCGTAACTGGAAGTTTTTGCTTACACTCTTTTGCCAGCGAAGTGATTATAACTTGGTTGGACCCTTTTTAAAATGCAAGTGTGAAGCGCAAAAGTTCCTAGCACATTGAGACCCAACTAGCTGGTGGCGAATCTTGGCCAGTTACAGGGTTTTCATTCATTCTCAGACCCAAAAGAACTTCGACATCTTGGAGCGTAATTGTTGCTTCCCCCATTGGGAAGTGAAATGTATGAGTCTCGGGCCGCCATCTTTCAACCAAGGCTGTCACAAGGGAGTTGTCTAATCGGATGAGACCCATCTCGAAGAAGTATCCAAAATCCATTTTTGCCACGTAACCTTTAACTATGTCATTGCTCATTACGTACAATTCCCAAAGTAGATTATCAAATCGTCGACAGTTATGATGTTCAGTCATGTATCTCGGCTCACTGTTCCAAACGGCATTAAATCGATCGGACCCTTGTTTGTGAATTTTTGGGGTTCCGACTAACCATATTTCCTAATGTAAAAAAAAATCAGAATGTAAACTAAATAAAAACAGAACTAGAATGTATTAAAAATGTGTATCAACACAAGAACTTTAAGTATGCAATAATCTACATAGTACAGGTTACATAGGAAACTCAGTGGTGATGTATGCAAGCTACATAGTAAAAAGGGGTTTTGGAAAAGATAGGTGTTAATACAGAGACAATCTGCCGATTAAAATAAAAAAAGAATCTACATAATATTCAATTTCAAGTTAAAATAAGTATTCAGTTTCAAAGAGTCAGTTGTCAGCCCTCCAAACACATTTTCCCCAGTTCAAGTTATCTAAACACAAAAAAATTTCCCATATGACCCAAATACTTGCCAACAAATACTAAAGTTATTACATTTTAAGTCCACTAGTAAAATGCTATTTAATTAGACAAACGTTATCTTTATTCAGAGCAAATAAGATTCAACAAATTGCAACAATAAACAGATTGTATACAATCAATGTCCAGACATTTGAATATATAACCAAAGAGTTTCACCATTGTAGTACACCTGCTCTGGCTATTTGTACTTGAATCTAGTTTAACAAAAAGACTTTGAAAGCCTACATTATACTTGGACAAATCACCTGTAAAGTATTCAATAACAAGGTACCATTAAATAGGAAAAAGAATCTGTTCTTAATCAAGTTTCAGCTATGCAAATTGAAATGCAAAAAGAAAAAAGCAGGAATTCGAAGCAAGGAAGTCGAGGCATTTAAAAAAAAACAAAACAAAAACAGAACCGGAAGTTGCATGGGCTAAGGGCGTTACCTGGAAGTTGCAGAGGCGATGCACCGGTGAGAGGCGAAGCACCGGAGAAGAAGGGGGCGGAGGTGATACAGCGGCGATGACGGAGTCTTGTCGAAGTCGACAAAATTCGGGGATGGGAGCGTCAAATACAGCGGCGTCAAATACAGGGGGGGAGGGAGGGTGTCGAAGTCGACGGATTTGTGGATTTAGATGGGGCTAAGGTGGGTGGCCGCCAGGGAAACAATCTAGGGTTCTAAACCAAACATGCTAGATTTAGAAAATAAAAATTAGTCTTATTATTGCCGGTACAATTTCTACATCCATGATGAATGTTCGCATTCGTTTGCCGTTGTCAATGAAACTACTCCCAGCATTGTTTCCTACGGGTTCTGCCCAACCCTGAAAATGGTGAATAAGACAATAGTGAAAAAGACGGTATGGATTTTTGGGCGTATTAGATAGCATAAATTTGCACTTATTCCCGCATAATGGACAAAAAAATGCCTCATAACACAAATAACTGGAGTTGCTGTCGTTGTTGCTGCTACTCCAATTTGACATTTTCCCTAAATACAGTAACGGAGAAAATGAGAATGGGGAAGGAAGAAAATGATCCACATGAACGAATTGTGGGACTTTATACATGAGAAAAACGGATGTGCAAATTCCGTTTTTAGTTTAAAAGAAAAACGGATTTCCGAATTCCGTTTTTACTATCCTAAAACCTAAACCCTATTTTTTTTTCAAAACATCAATCCAGATTATATTTTAATACAAATTCCTACTAGTACAAAATAAGTTCCTACTAAAACATCAATCCAGATTACATTTATTACACAAACTACTGAAACATCCGACTAAAATAACAATAATACAGTCATAATAATAATGATCGTCCAAATACATAAAGAAATACATAATACCAAGTTTGTCAGACATAAACATCCAAATGCATAAAGAAATACAGAAATACAGATTACATTACATGATATTAGTTCCAGATTCAACACACCGGAGGGATTCAGTCCTCTTCAACATTTTCGAAACCATCTGCGTCCCAGTTGACTTCCAATCTTGTCCGATCAATTATGCGGTGTGAGCGACCACATGCCTTTGTCAAATGATCTCGACCGCCGCATCTCCTACATCTTTTGCATCCACTCATGCCCATATAATCCATTGCCATCAAGAATCGTTGTTGTTGTTTATGACCCGGAGCATTATACAGAACTAGATTGACATAATCAGGAACAAAGGTTCCTCCCTGGAGACACCCACTCTTCTCTTCTTGGGACGGGAACAAATCTAGAATGACGAAACTGCTCACGCCATGTGCTCATCTTATAATATTCATATATTATGTTTTCTGGGTGATCACCAATCCATCGACATACAGCCAATGCGTGAGAATAAGGAAGCCTGTAAGTCTGTCACTTCTTGCATGAACAACACCAATCCATGTATTCTACTTTGTGTTCATTTCCACCTTTCCCTATACGACGCCAACCTGTAATGACCCCATATACTTGGTTCTGGAAATCGTACAGCTCCACTTTGTGAGTTGCTTCTATATTCTCGTACTTACAGAATTTCTTCCAATACTTATCTCTAATAGGAGTATTGCACTTCAAGACATCTGCATACTGATCACGGAAGAACTTAGTTGTTTTCGCCAAAGTCGATTCCACCACAGCTCTAATTGGTAAAAATCAAACACCCTTCAGAACATTATTGTAACTCTCAGATATATTTGTTGTCAAGATGCCCCAATGTGCATAATCTTGATCGTAGGCAAGACTCCACCTCCTCCTCGGAATAGCCATCATATAAGCAAGACATGCTTCGTTGCACTCTCTCAGTTGTTGCTAAAATTTTAGAAACTTGTGATTTTGCCGTTTCTTGCCCATTTTTCAACAAACAAGATTAGTTCGCGCAGTTTGATTTCTGTATTTCGCCACCATGTTGCTCCAAACATGTCGAACACAATACCTGTGGTATCCATAATATGGTTCAAGCCACAGATCGACAATATTTTTCAGTACACTGAGTATCCCCTTATGCCGATCTGATATAAGACACCAATCCAGATTTACATAAACAGTCCAGCATTTAAAAAATAGTCCAATATTATCCTAATAAAACAGTCTAGATTTGTATAAACAGTCCAGCATTTAAAAAATATTCCAGTATTTTCATAATAAAATAGTCAAAATTTGTATAAACAGTCCAGCATTTAAAAAACAGTCCAGTATTTTCCTAATAAAACAGTTCAGATTTATATAAATAGTTCAGCATTTATAAAATAGTCCAGTATTTTCCTAATAAAACAGTCCAGGTTTGCATAAACAGTCCAAGATTTATAAAACAGTCCAATAATTTTCTAATAAAACAGTCTAAATTCGCATAAACAGTCAAACTGAAAATATCATAAATAATGAGTTTTAAATTTTTACCAAAGCAATTCGGTGAAATTATCAATCCAGTTACCATAACACGCTTCGATGGCTTTCCTGCTTGCATTCCATGCCTTCTTGTACTTCACATCCACATTATAAGCTGTCTTCACAGCAGCCCTGATTGACTTCACCTTAAAACCAGGATCATTTTCAACACTACGCCTTATAAGTTTGGCTATTAACTTCGACGTCAAATTGCGATGGTCATTTCCTCTAGTTAATCCAACGCAATTGTGACAATCAACCCAGTACACAATTGGCACAGACCATGCTTCTTCAAAGATGCACGCATCCTCCACGCACAAGTAGATTACCCAATTGGAGTTTGCATTCTTCTTGTCGTGCACTCTGCAGCCCATGACTTACAGCCAGAAACAGTCACATAAAATTGTCTATTGTGATGTATGTTCCAGTCTTCGATAGCTGTCTCAACTTCATCCTGTTGTTGAAACAGGTGTCCCAATCAAGGTTTACTTTATCACCTTTCCACATCTTAACTCCAAATTCATCTCGGTCCACTATACTCTTCTCATAATCACCAATGTCTGAATATATATGCTGACCTAAATCAGAAGTGACAAACTTCTTCACTGCTTCTGCTTCTTGTTGTTCTTCTTCTAAGTCAGTTTCATCCGACACATCAGTTTGATAATCAATTTCTTCTTCGCTTTCTACATAAGTTCCGTCAGATGCATCATCCTCATCTGATGAATCAAGTCATCATGTTGACCCCCGCCTCGTGCCTCAGCAACATATCCATCGCCGCTGCTCCTTCTAGGCCCTGCTTCTGCATGTCGTTGAGAATTATTCATCCAGTATTGCAGTTGCGACCCAAATGTATCTTCCTGTCTCTGTCCAGCAAGATCTAACAAATTTTGGGCTTGCACAGTGTCTTCATTTTCAACATACAGCTCCAAATATGATGAACCTAAAAAATAATAAATAATTTTCACCGTCAAGTCGTCCGTAATTGTTGCACTTCGTCTTACACCGTTGCTTTCGAACAACAAAATAATTCTCAGATTTACATATTCTCTGTCCCAACCCGCTTTATCACAAATTCTGCCCAAAAACTCAGAATACGACAACCTGCGCTCAATAACTAATATCGCATCAGCCCTGCTATCAAATGTTCTGATCGTGCCATCCTCCACTACATATTTATTTCTCCAGTACACATTAATAAAATATGGACCATTCAATGCCATTTTTCTAGTAAAAAATATAATAATTCCTATTAAATTAACTTTCTGCGCAACAAATATTCCTGTCCAAATAAATACGATCCTACTAAGATCAATATTTTTAAACTGAATAATCTCATTCAAAATTAATAAACACAATAATTAAATAATTTAATACAATATTAAATACGATTAAAAGAAATCAATAACATCAACGCATTACTAACCTTGATGATAATAATAATGTGACAAAAAAAATACAGGTTCAAACTAGCTGCATCTGTGAATTTTTCACTTCCCATTCATAACTTTTAAGATCCATGAACAGTTCAAATTTTCATTTATATATAAGCCGAAAAACGGATTTTTCACTTCCGTTATTTTTTTTATTAAAGTTGCCACTACAGTGTCACAAATAGTTAGACAGTGTCAGACCAATAATGGAGCTAACAAACTGACAACCAAGAAACAGAAATTCGTTTTTCGTTTTTTGAGCATTATAAAAACGGAATTCTAATTTTCGTTTTTATTTTTTTACTTAAATTATCTAGTATTATTTATGCCGAAATAATTTTTTCCAATTTTCAGAATTTTGAAAATACATAAAATAAAAACGGATAATAGAATTCCGTTTTATAAATGATAGTTAAAAAAAACGAAAATTGCATATTCGGCAAAACTTTTCAGGACCCCAAAAAAAAAAACAAAAAAAAAGTTCTTCTCATTTTTTCTGACATTTATTTAGGTAAAAGACCCTTTTTTGGGTTAAATTTAAAGTTAACTGAGTGACAATAGAGATAAAAAAAAAAATTAAAAATCACATGCTAAATGGTGAAGGGCCAATTCAGATAATTTTAAGTACCCTATTGATTTTGAATTTATGTAAACTGTAATAAAGGGACAAAGAAACAACAAAAACTCTGCGAACAAAAGTGGAGGAGAGGAATGGGGGGTAATAAATGTGGAAAGTTGAAAGTCACCATCTACTTTCTCTTCTTCTTCGGTCTTAGCTTTTTAACTTTTAAGTACTTACTCCCTCATTCTTCTCTCTCTCTCTCTCAACTTTTTCTGAAACTTGCTTTCCTTGGCCACTGAAAAAGGCTATGGACTCCATTTCACGCCTCCTTTCACCTTTTTTCCCCCTTTCTGAATATCTTTTGTCTCTTCCTCTCACTCTCTCTCATCAAATTCTTATCTTATTTTATTCCTCCAATTTATCTAAATCAAATTGGAAGTGGTTAGAACAATAATTTTAAATAATCTAACTTGTTTAATTTTTTGAGATTTAAATGCTAAATGGGGAGTAAAATGAATTTTGAGATAAAAAGTGAAGTATACATTATTCTCTTCTTCTTTTTTCCTTTAACAAAATTGGGGAAAAAAAAAGTGATTAAATAATAAATAAGAGAATGTAAAAATATCTCTCGAAGATTTGAAATATTAAGGTAATAAATTTGACTTTATGGATTAAATGAACTAATAACAATCCATGATTTTTGGCGGTAACTTGAAGAAATGTGAAAAGATGTGAAGCTAACGGTCAAGATCACCTGCCATAAGCATCAACCCTCTAGATTCTGTCAGTAAAAAAAAAAATTAAAAAAACCTGCTTTTTTGGACATATGCATCAGGTTGAAGCAGAGGGAATTTTTCTTGGACAATCCAACATTACTTGCAGCCTTTTAAGCTTCACAAAAGTTAGACGATATGATTTGCTATGTTTTGCCCCTCCTTTTATCTTTTCCTTTTCAACTTTTATTGAATTCTGTTTTCGATGATTTTAAAATATATTCACTCTATCCCAAAATTATTATTCAATTTGAAATTTCACTTTTAGTACAATTTGAACTAGAAATAAAAACACAAAGTTAGTATATTTATTTCGTTCTAAAATTATTGTCCAGTTTAGATTTTTTATTTTTAGTACAAATTGAGCTAAAAGTAAAATCTCAAACTGATAATAATTTTGGGACAGAGTTACTTTTTTACAAGTGATAATATCCCGAGTTTCGAACAAGTGATGATTGCCCTAACCATTTTCTAAGTGTCTTGGTAACTCGATCTGTTATAAGATATGAGTTATGTTTATCAATTAAAACTTGTTTGACAAATATAATTTTTATTTTGATACAAGTTAAATTACTATATTCTGTTAGTACCAAAATCACAACTATTATTAGTACGTAGTAATTGAACGAAGAGTAGTTGGCGAGAACCAAAATAACCAAATTTGGTGGATGAATGATTGGATTCAGTTATTATTCTTTCATTGTTGAATAAGAAAATTAGCTCAAAGATTGAGATGTGTCATTATATTTAATTAAAAGATTACAACTCAACGTCCGGCCTCGACTAATTTCTGTATATAATAAAATAAAATAAAATCATGATTTGAAGCTGAAACAATCGTTTCTAAACTACTTGGCAGAATAGACAGTATTGAACTTTTCCAGGTGATTAAATATTGGTTTGTTGCCGAATGATTAGCTATCTAAACATATCAATGTTTTTTTAATTATTTTTTTGACTTTGAAGCCGAAAGAAATTGATGTATTAATTAAAGACGAGATCTAATGATGCTTGGCTTTACGGAGGAGAAGACATTATCCCACGCTGACGCCTTATTATCCTGTATATTGAATTAGTAAAACAGAAAATTACTTCACAAACAATCCTTTTCTTTCACAAATAAATTCTGTTCATCGTATTTTTTAGTTCAAAAAACATAACTCTATATTCAAATATAACGACGTACTATTTTGATAAAATATATATATGTATCGATAAAAATTAACAGTAACTATTTTGATAAAATATAATGTTACAAGCACATATGATAAAGTTTCTTTTTGTGAAATAAAAATGAAGTTTTAATCATGAATAAATTGCAAAGTCTGAATTCGGTGAAGGCCAACCTTCAAATGTCGTTATTGCAAACAAACAAGGACTAGGGGAAAAAGCAAAGTTGGAAAAGTCGTATTCTGCATGCATGCCTGCTTTTTTTTCTTCTTTTTTTTCTCTCTAGATAATCATAAAACAGTAATGAATTGAACCCTTATGCTACAATTCCAACTTAAAAGTTAAAACAAAAAAGATCATGTTTATAAAACTAAAACATTGCAAAAAAAAAAAAAATTATTTTCGGTTATTACAATAGAAGTGCTTGAATACTAAAAATCAAAACATTATATGAACAGAACACTCAGATTAAAAGAATTTCTTTTTTTTTTTTATCTTCATTTCAATTCGAATGTTGACTCTTTTGTTGATTTTGATAAGTCATCTTTCATTGTTTTTAATAATTATTTTTACCTATTAAAGTACTTTTGGACAGTAAAAACTAAAAAGTAAACTATAAAAAAGCTTTTTAGTTGGGGGGAATCATTTCGACTAGGTGACAGATGATTCCTTTCACTCCCCGACAATTCAAAGCATCAATCAACTTTGAAGGTCAATACACCCTAGTTAGCTATAGAATGGACCAAGTCAAATTTTTACAAAGAGATTATGTAATTATCATGTAAAAATTTAAAAAAAAAAAATTGAAAAGAGGAAAACACAAACATACACATGTTATTGTATTTCGTTGCACAATTTTTTATTTTTTTTTTTGTTTTCTAATTTTACATAATTTATATTCCGTGTATTAGAAAAACACACACTGAATAAACGATTCAACCGGATATAAATATTTTTGCGACGGATTACAAGCTCCAACGACTATGACGTATATCAATGACTTTTACATATTTGGTTGAGGTCATAAAAAGCGAGAGATGACATATCATCCATCATTCTTCTTCCTTTAGTTAGAAAAAGAGAAGTAAGTTTGTGAGAAAGGTTTGAATAGGGGAATAAACAGAGAAGAATTGAGGGTGAAAAGTTGGTTTTATTAGACTCGAAAGACGCGTAAAAGACAAGGGAGAGCGTGCGTTACCAAAAGGGAATATGATGGGGATCATCATCATTCAACTTTTTATTCCTTTTTTTTCATTCTTTGTTTTTTTTTTTCTTTTTTGAGGGTTTCTCGAAAGCCTTCTAACAAAAGGTGGTGAAATGAAAATTTATGAAAAAGGTTAGTAGAAAGAAGGAATCCCACAACACGATTGCTTTCCATTTCGAGGGTTCATCTCGAGCAAAAGCATAAACAAAGTAGATAATTTGGACGATTTAAT